CGGGTCTCCTCCGGTCTCCCAGCAGTTTTCTGCAGCGTAGCATCTACTCTCCACTCCATACTTTCTCTTAAGAAACCTCTCCTGAAGAAACCTCCAACCATGACCTTCTGGCCACGGGGTCGCGACCCAACCAAGTACAACTCGCTGGCTTGCAAGTAACAGAAACCCACTTAAACCACCTCCAGGAAACATAAGTGTCTCCTGGAACCCAAGAAAAAATTGAACAGCAAATTTCTCAGAAGAGCAGACTGAGCATATGGGCTCTTCGGGGAACCCCGAGTACCCTCCCTCCACACCCCCGCAGCAAGCCCATCTGATGCAGATGAACTCACTGCACCCTCTCCCTCCCGCCCACAGACCTCACTGCCATTCCTGGAACGTGCCACCACAGGGCCTTTGCACTTGCTGCACCCTCTGCTCGGGACACTCTTGCCTCGTTCTCCTCATGGTTCCCTCGTTCACTCCTTTAAGTCTTCCCTCAGCGGCCACCCCAGGGGCCCCTTCCTTGACCAACTGATTTAACGCTGCAAACCCCCATCCCAACATGCCCCCGTGCCCTCTCTGCTCGCTTGCTCTTTTCCTTTCTACTTTGGTTCACATGCCAAAAAAAAAACCCCAGTTAATCGTAATCCTTAGTTCGTAACCCACTCTCCAGCTTTTAAGGATTAACTTTAATAATAACCCATGAAACCACCACCAGAAACAAAAATTAGAATCTTGACAATAATCTACATCGAACCATACGTACGGTTCCCCCACCCCAGCATCATATCCTTCCCACCGTAATCCTCATCCTGAATCCCATACTGACACTTTTTAAAGTTTATTGTTACGAGTATATAACTTCAGTTGCTTTTAGCTTTATATAAAAGGTATCATGTTCATGAAATGGGACAATTTTCACTGGCTCTTCTGTTTCAGAGATCCACCCATAGCATGCTGTGTGGCTGCGGCTCCTTCATTTTGACTGCCGTGTAATAGTCCATCGTGGGAACTCCTTCGTCCGCTCTCCCACAGCTGGGCATTTGGTTCGCTTCGTGATTTTGGCCGCTGAGAAGAGAGCCCCCGTGAATATTCTTTCATGTGACTCCAGGGCCTGTACTTCGAGTAGAGTTGCCGGGTCATGGGCTGCGCATGTGTTCAGGCTCCGGAGATAAAGCCAGACCGTATTCTAACAGATGGCACCAGTTCACATCTAATGTCTGTCTTCCTCCACAGTGTTTACACATTATGATATATTATGTATTTTACTTATGTACTTGTTTGTTTACTCTCTATCCCCCCCCCACATACACACACTAAAATGTCAGCACCAGGGTAGGGGGGGCAGAAATTTTAGACTTTTGTTCACTGCTGTATCCCCAGTGCCTAGCCTGGTGACTGGCACGTAGTAGATGCTCAGTAAACACCTTCTGATTTCATGAACATGGTGACAGCCCAACACAAGGCCTGAGAGCTCCCGCTGGTACTGCTGGCCCAGTTACCTGGAGATGGGCTAATTCAACCCTCTCCCAGTTTCAACCCTCCCTTGCCCCCAATCCAGAAAAAGGCCCATTGGCCAAAAACTACCGATGCCTAGAGTCCAGGCCACCTGGGCCAGAGTTTCTGAAGGAGGGGCTTCCCCTTTAGCAATTCCCCGTGGCTCTTAGGAACAACTCCCCAAACCCACGCAGGGTGTGTAAGGCCCCACATGGCGGCCCTGCCCATTTCGTCTTGCTCCACACTCACTCCTGCCCCATCTCAGTGGCCGCTCTGGCCTCCTCTCTGTTGCTCTCACACACCAAGCTCTTTCCCACCTCTGGGCCTTGGCATGCCCTGTCCCCTCTACTTGTCCTCTGCTTAGTCACAGTGGGGAGTAGCTGACATGTCACCTCCTGGGATTCTTTTTCTAAGGATGTAATACATACGAGTACATCTAAATTCAAACAAACAGTTCATGATCGAACGTGTTCTGTTGGCTTCTCCACTGGCGTCTGAGCCATCTCCCCAGCCGAGTGCAGGCCCCTTGCAGGCCAAATTCCTTTCCCCTGCTTGGATCCCCTTTGCTGCTGCGCTGGACCCTCAGCTGGATGCCATTCATCAGCTGCTGAACAAGCACAGAGGCAGCACGCTGCCGTACAAGGTGCAAAAGGGTCTGGAGTTCAAATCCCAGCCCTGTCACTCCTTGAGGGAGCTTGGGCAAGCCACTTAAACTCTTTCAGCTTCAGGATTTTTCTCCATCTGTAAAATGAGGACAATATTATCGACTGTGGGGCAGGTGTGAAGAGTAGTGAGTCTTAGGTAAGCACCCGGCCCCATAACAGGTCCTCAACACATGACAAACATCATGTCGTGAGCACCAGCCACACTGTACCAGATGAGTAAGACACAGTCCCTGATCTCAAGGGCATCTCACTCTACCAGGGACAGCACTGAAGTGGCAAATTGTGATACAGGTGTCACATCAAAGATATGGGCCAAGGAGCACAAAGGAAGATGGAATGAGTTCAGGGAAGGCTTCCTGGAGGAGGTGACATTTAGTCAGACCTTAAATGGAATTATACAGTCTGGTTCTTGGAGTCTTTCCAACTTGCAGCTAAATTTCCATGTGACCTTGAGTTAGTCTTTTCCCACCCTGGGGTCCCCAGGTCCCCTTCTGTAACATAAGGTGCTCAAGCATCAGCTCTGAATCTTTTGGGTCACAGCCCCTTTTAAGAAGAATCTCTGAAAGCCAGAGCTCTTCTTCCCAGAAAAATGCACAGACATGTTGGTCTGTAATGGGGGAGGGGGCCTTCATGGCTCCCCGGAAAGCCATCTGTGGACCATGGGCTAAAATCCCAGTGATCCCGTTGGAAGCTCATCCCTGCAGAGTTGGCCCTGTCCTCAGACAGAACCTCTCTCTCTCTCTCTCTCTCTCTCTGTCTGCGGCAGGCACAAGCAAGCAGAATCATTGACCCAATCGGGAAAAGCCCATCAAGCACCGGGCTGCAGGACAGAGCAGGGACCTGGGGCGGGGAAGTCACTCTGGCTGGCTGGGGAACCGGAGTTCAGTTCTGGGAAAGCGCCCCTCAGCTGCCTGCCCATGACCTCGATGAGTTTATCACCATCTGCCCCGGGGAGGAAGAGGAGCGTGGGCCGCCCTGGGCAGGCTCCCAAACAGGCCGCTGACCCCCATCTGCTGCCCAGACTGGAGTTCCCGGACGCATCCTTCATCTTCCCTAATCTAAACACCCGCAGGCCGCGGGTGGGCCCCCCCTCCCAGCCGCTGTGTGTCCTCAGCTGCATCCAGCCTGTCAGAGCAGGAGAGCCGGCCATCCCATTAACGCTTGAGCTGCTGCGGGCACCTGCGTCCCCTTCCAGCCAGCCAGCCCTCGCCCCGCCCTTACTGAGCATCTAGCATTTGCAAGGGCCTCCAGGGAGATGACGAGGGCCGGCCCTTATCTTCCGCCGAGGCCCCGGCCTCCTGGCCTCTGTGCGTGTCATCCTGTGTGTGTCCCCTCCCCACCCTGCCCCCACCAAGGCAGGATGCTGTTGCTCTCCCACTCACCTGGGGCAGGTGGGGGCTTTGGGGAATTGGGCTCTGAGCTGGCTGATTGGGTCCTGGGAGGAGAATCCGCTCTGGGTTGGTGTCTGGGTACTGCCCAAAGCTGCTGTGTGGCCCTGGGCCTGTTTCTTGCCCTCTCTGGGCCGCAATCCCCCTGTATGGACACTTCAGATTCCATGATTCCATTCGGCTCTGAAATGGGCCTTGCCGTCCCGCCTCGCTCCCCTCGACCAAAATAGTTGAAGGAGAAGAGAAGGCCGACCAAGAACGTTTTATGGTCTTCCTTTAGACAATCTCTGGTTCTTATTCATTCATTCAAGCATCTATTGAACGCCTAGTGTATGCCAGGCCCCGGACTGGGCAAGGGGACTGTTAAGATGTCCAAGTTTCCAGCAGGTGACCAACAAACACCTCGCTCCATGCCTTGAGCCCTGCTTGGGGTGAAGAGACCTCCTGGGGTCCCAGGTGGGCCTAGCTGAGGATTTGGGGCGCCCCAGGGACTCGCGTGTCAGCGCCGGCGGCGCTTACGGCCGCGATCTGTCTCCGCCCCTTCCTCCTCCTCCGCCCCCTCCTCCTCTCCTCCCCGGAGCGCGGCCGCCGCCGCCTCCCACCCGCGGGATCCCGGCGTCCGGCCGCCGGCTCACGCGTCCGTCGGTCGGCGGCGTAGTCTGTCCTCGCGTGGAAAGCCCAGAGCCCCGCGCGCGGCGGCCGCGGGGTCGGGGAGGGAAAGGGCGCGGAGGCGGGACCGCGGCTCCCTCCCACTCTGGGGGGAGCCCGGGAGGCGGCGGTGCTGAAGCGCGAGCCGGGGAAGAGCAGAGGCGCGGCGCGGCGCGGCGAGGCGGTGAGAGCACGGGGTGCTCCGGGACCCCACCCCCGGCCGCTGCGGGGGCCCGCGCGCGCTTTGGGGAGGTCTGGGCTCGGCGAGGGGGCTCTTCTCCCAGGGCGGGAGCCAGTGACGACCCAGCTCCGGCTTCGCCTCCTCCGTGACGCGACCCCCGAGGGGCCTGGGCCGCGCCTGCATCCCCGCGCACCCCCGCGTACCCTGCATCCTCGGCCGGGGGGGCGGCGGGGAGAAGAGCTCTCGGGAAGCTGAGGAGGGGGCGTCGCAGGCGAGAGCCTCGGGAAATCGCTCCCCCGGCTTCAGCCCTGCCTTCAGGCCTGCCCCTAGGGAACGCGGGCGGCGACCCCCTTTAGCCCCCTTGCTGTCCCCCCCCAATCGGTCCCCATTGTTCTCAGGCGATCGCTCTCCTGGGAAGGGGGAGGGGGTGCCGCGCTCTATTCTTAAAGGGCCCTCTCTCCTTCTTGTCTCCAGGCAGGTCGCGAGCACGAGTGGGGTGGGGCGTGCCCACGGGCCCCCGCCCCCCTCGTCCCCCGGCGCAGCCCCGGAGCCGCAGCCCGGGCGGGCGGGCCGGGGACACGCGCCGCACCCCTCCCCCGTGCATTCTTCAGCCACCCAGGCCTTCCAGGACGCCGTGGAGCAGGGACCAGGGGGACTGGGACGCCCCCTTCAGCAGGAGCCGTCGGGGGGCGGACCCGAGAAGCGGCCAGCAGCCCCACTGGAGCCAGGCGCAGGGTCTGGGACGCAGTTGCCGTTGGAACGCAGAGGGCTGGCTGGGCGCCGCGGAGAGCGGCAGGCTGGGCCGGGCCTCGCCTCCGGGGTGACAGGCCCTACGCTGGCCGGGAAGAAAGACAGGAGACCGGCAGGCAAGAGACCGGACCTGGAGTGGGGGCGATTGCCTCGCTCCCTTATGTGAGAGGTGGGATCCCAGAAATGTAGAGCAACGTCTCCCCCATCCTAAGAAAGACACTTGCTTTCCGGAGCAGCAGCCTTTATCTGAGACAGCACTGCCGGGAAGGGGTCCTTGGAGCCTGGAACACCGCCCCTCCGTCATTTCACTGAGGCCTCTGGGCCCACAGCGGACAGGGAGTTAGAAAGGAGGCCAGACAGCCCTTGCTGCTCCCCTGGGGAAAGAAGACGTCCCCTGCCTGCTCCCAGGCTCAGGAGGAGCTGGGCCGGTCCTCGCGGGGCCCTGGCCCCCGAGGTGGCAGAGGCCATGTCACGGCCAGGCCAGGGTGTCATGATGCCCGTGAATGGGCTGGGCTTCCCGCCGCAGAACGTGGCCCGGGTGGTGGTGTGGGAGTGGCTGAATGAGCACAACCGCTGGCGGCCCTACACGGCCACCGTGTGCCACCACATTGAGAACGTGCTCAAGGAGGACGCCCGCGGTTCCGTGGTCCTGGGGCAGGTGGACAGCCAGCTGGTGCCCTACATCATCGACCTGCAGTCCATGCACCAGTTTCGCCAGGACACAGGTGAGTGGCCTCGCCCCAGCCCCACCCAGCCCCGCCCGCCACAGCACCACCTTTGGGGTCCCCGCCATCCCTGGGAGGGAGGCCGGAGCTTCAGGGAGGCCGGCCAGTCTGCTGATCCAAACTCCCCCTCCTCCCCCTAAAAGGGACAGCCTCGCCAAGTGCAGTTTAAGACTTCGGTTCCGACCCAGCCTCTTAGCTGTAGGGCCTTCAGTGAGTTACATCGTCACCTCTCTTAGGCTGTTTCCTCATCGTAAAGTGAATGGATTAAAGCTCTCTCTTCCATGGAAGGATGAAGTAAAGTTGTGCTCACTGAGCACGGGACGTAGAACACTAGCACTCCATTATCGTAGTAAAAAGACCTTCCGTGGATGTCCTCATTTGATTTTTTCCCAACAACGAGGCAGTAGGTCTTATTATTGTAGTATGATGATTATTGGTCCCATTTTACAGATGAAGCAGCTGAGTCTCCCAGAAGCTAAGTGATTTAAACTCAGGGCTGAGACTTAAGCCCAGGCCATTAAAGTCCAGAGCCAGAGCTCTCAACTGGTGTCCCGTCCCAGCTCTGAGTGTCGGTGGTGTCGGGGTGGCATGATGCTGGGGGCAACGTTGGGGCCAGCGGGGCGCCGGTGGTGGTGGCAAGGGGCGGTGATGCCGGCGGAGACGGTGGCGGTGGTAATGCCGGCGGGAGTGGTGGCGCCAGTGGCTGTGTAGGTGGCTGTCTGTCTTGGGGTGGTGAGAGGAAGTGGGGGTGATGGAGAGAATGAGGTTGGTGGCAGTCACGGGGGTTGTGTGGAAGGTGGCGATAAAAATGGGGAGGCCCAGTCCCGGCGTTTTTGTTCTGGAGACGCGCTCTCCCAGTGGAGGTCTCCCTGAGCCGCCGCTGCCTGGTGGGCTCCGTGACGGGCGTGACAGGCAGTGGAGGACGGAGGCTGCCAAGAACCCTCGTCCTGTTTGATCCCGGGGGCCTCCTGATGAAGGTTCAGGGGCCTCCCTGTGAGTCCCCAGGTGGCAGGACTGCACGTCACAGCCTTGGAGACAGCAGGACCCGTCCCTTCTCTCTAGAGCTGTGCCGCCCAATACGTCAGCCACTCACCCCATGTGGCTATTTAAGTTCACATTAATGAAAATTAAATAAAACTTAGAATGCACTGCCTCGGTCCCACTAGCCACATTTCAAGTGCTCAACAGCCACACGGGTCCCGTGGCTGACATATCGGACAGCGCGGACCCAGAATGTTGCCGTCACCACAGAAAGCTCTGGCGGGCGACTCTGCTGTGGAACGCTGCTCGGTGCCTGCAGTGGTCACCGAGCGTGGAAACCCAGGCGAATCCGTAACGGGTGGTTTATTGATGTTTCTTCTCAGTGCATCGATGTTTCCGTAACTCCAGGCAGGGACTGCCGCCGCTGGTGGTGCCAAGCTTTCATTCATGCCGTCATACGATCACTTATTGATTTCTGCCCTGTGTGCCACCCTGTGCTCAGCGCTACCAGGCTAGCGCCAGGAGCCGGGCAGACAGGGCCCCGAGGGGCGGTTTACCAGCGGAGGACTGGGCCAGAGGTCGCGGTGTGGCTGGGGAGCGAACCATCACATAATCTCGCAGATGATCCGTTTCAGGTCTGAGAACATGACCTCCACCCAGCCAGAGGGTGGTCACGGGAGGCTCATTTGAGGAAGGGATACGAGGACAGAAGTCCGAAGAATAAGTGAGGGGACTGAGTCCCAGGCAGAGGGACCAGCCTGTGCAAAGGTCCTGTGGTGGGAAGGAGCAGAGTACATTCAAATCCTGCGTGTTTGGAGTGCCGTGGATGTGAGGAAGGGGGTACACGATGAGGCTGGAGTGTGGCCTGGACAGCCATGAAAAGGGCTTTAATATTTTGAGCAAGTCACCATCAGGGCCTCCTGCCTTTTGTTCCAGGGAGGCACCGAGTCCCTGACAGGGAGGGGAGAGGGGCCGGGCCTCCCCTGCCACATTCTCTCGGGCGTTTCCCGGAGCCTTCCCTGGGGGAAGGCAGGGGTCCGACTGCAGAAGGAGCTGGGTTTCCTCACGGGCCCGATGTTCCGTGGTCTGCACGTTCAGAGTGAGTGCTGGATGGAAATTTTCCAGGGCCTGGCTGCGGGGGTGGTGTCCCTAGAAGAGGGATAGCCCCACCCAAGGCTGCCTAGCAGACCAATTTGTCTTTGGTTCCCCCCTTTTGGGGGCCCTTTTCTATTCACAGCACCCCCACTTGGGTTCCTAGCTCTTCCAGCTCCCCCCATTCTCCCTTTCAGCGGCCCCCTCTGTCACATCACAGCCCCCGCCGGGTCCCCCAGACGTTCAGCTTCGGTCACTTCCTCACACCCTCTCCCGGAGCTGCTCACTCCACACCTGCCCCTGTTTGCCGGAAAAGGGGGGAAAAAAGCAACACACTCATCCTTCCCCGCCCCCATGGGCTCCTGGGAGCCTGCCCAGGCCCCTAGCCGGGGAGGAAGGCCTGGGAACCGATGGGGCTGGCGGGGACCTAGAATGACGGAAAACTACTGGAGGGATGGGCACGGCGCTCCCCACCAGACGTGTCATAGTTTGCGCCCCACTTTTCCCAGGAGTAAAAAATGTTAAGAAGGGACGTCTATCCTCAGTGTTAATGGTCCAGGGAAGACCCTCAGGCAGGTGTCCTCACTTGTCGAGGCCTCAGTTCTCACATCTGTGAAATGGGCAACAGTCACTTTGTTAGCAAGGTTGTTGGGTTGATGGAGAGAAGCAAACCTGCTATCTTATCCCTCAAACCTTGACTGATCACCCTCCGTGCGCCTCGCATGTGCTGAATATTAGGGATGCACAAGAGAGAAGTGGGAGGTTCTGAATTTTAAAAGGATTATGGCTCTCTCTCTCTCTCTGACACACACACACGAAACAATGTAAAGTTGTAAAACCCAAAGCTTGCACATAGGTACTGAAATGAACACAGCTTCTATCTAGATTTTCTCATTGTAAAATTCTTGATAAGTTCACAGACGCTGAACTTTAGCTTTGGGGGTAGCAGCAGCATGCCCAGCTTTGCTCGTGCTCTAACACTGGAGCCCACAGACTTCCTGACAACATCAGATAGTAAATACTTTAGCCTTTGTGGGTCCTACAGTCTCGGTTAAAACAGCTCAACTCTGCCATTGTAGCATAAAAGCCACCAAGGACAGGATGCAAATGAATGAATGCAACCGTGTTCCCCTAAAACTAGATGTGGACACCAGCATTTGACGTCCATAGAATTTCCATGGGTCCTGAAATACTATTTTTCTTTCTTTCCAACCATTTAAAAATGTGAAAAACACTCTGGCTCCCAAGCCAGGCAGAAGCAGGCAGAAGGCAGATTGGGCCCGCAGGCTGCCCTTTGCCAGCCTCTGCCCTGTGGTGCTCTTAACCTGCCCATTTGGGGCGTAAGACAGTGCTGGTACCACAGCACGCCCTGCGCTGTACACACAGAAATACGTGCCTTGCGGTGCACGCTGGGATCGGGGCGTGTGTATATGCAGACACACGGCACCAGCCCTCTTGCACACCACTGACCCCCCAGTGCCCTGTCTACATGCCTGTCACGCAGCCAGTAAAGGAAAGCCCAGGTGTCAGGCTCGGACCGCAGGGGAGAGGCCAGGCCAGGTCCCCTGGGGGCGGCTGTTTATTCAGCCGGTGCCCCCTCACCTCTCCCCTGCTGGGCTGTTGTTACTGCCCCCCACGGTGTGTGAGGTCCCCTTTGAAGGCAGACAGGGCCGGAGCCCACGTTGGGGGGAATGCTGTGACCCCGGGTCACGCGATCTTACATCACTCACAGTCATGTCCCCCTGTGAGGCCAGAGCTTCTCCGAGGGTCGCTGGCCCTATGCCCCCATCCCTGCCGAGGGCCTCACCCAGAGCCTGGATTTTCCACCCAGTCCCCACAGCTGGACAGAGACGTGACTTAGCCGCTTCCCAGGCAGCTTCCAGATTCCGCCCTGGACTCGCACGGCCGGGGGCACAGGGGAGGGGCCGCCTTTCTGACTGACTGGTGTCTCCTAGTCTTCTCTCCCTCTGCTGCTGCGGACGCTGCGCAAGCCTTCTGCCCAATCTGTAGATGGGACGGCTGAGGCTGGAGAGGCCAGGCTGGGGGCCATCCACAACTGCTGTCCTCAAGGCTCAAAACAAAGCTGTGCCTGTGCTCCCACGCTGTCAGGCTGAAGCCATGGGTGGCACTGGCTTCGGCATCGCCCAAGCCTGCATCATCCCTTCTGTGGGTGGCCTGGGCTCCCCTCAGACCTGGTCCCTGCCCTAATGGGAACATCCTGTCTGAGGACACTTTCAGGCTGTTGGGGACTGAGTGGGGCTGCCCAGAGAGAAAAGCAGTCAGTCATCGCCAGGGAAAACACTGCCCGAATGGAGACTCCTAGGTGGGTCTTGTACAGACAGAAGACTGAGACCCAGAGAGGGTGAGTGACTCGCCCAAGGCAACACAGCCAACCCATCCGGAGCTGGAACCTAGGCCTCTCAGACAGTCCTCAGGGATGTAGAGCAAGGTCACATTCAATGCTGGGAGGAGAAAGGCCCCTCCCCCTCCTCCCTTGAGAGCTCTGCTGGGACTTGTTGTCAGGGTGTCTACCAAGGCAGGAACAGCCTGTGCAACCACCGAGGCCCCCAGGGCCAGCTCCCTGGTTACAGGACCCCTTGGGACCCTCTGCCAACCAAGCCTGAAAGCCCCGGGGGCTGTGCCTGGCATCAGGGCAAGGGGGACTGTGCGTGTCCGGGTGGGGAGGTGACTCCATGGTGGCACAGGTTCCACTAACCCATACGTGGGTGTCTTTCATCCCCACCTGTCGCGCTGCATCCGCTTCCACCGTTACAGACCCCCTCCCCGCCCACCACCTTGGGCCCCTGGCTGCTCACCTCGCTCCGGGGGCCTCCTTTGATACCACACGTTCGTCCTCGCTTTTCTTGGACAGTGAGCGGTGCCTGCGCAGCGACGGCCCTGGGCTGTGCCCTGGGGACTCAGAGAGA